ATGCCGGGACTGAGACAGGCTGCTGGCCAGCCTGCTTAAAAATTTACTGGGGTGGTGGTGGTGGGTGGGGGGGGAGAAATGCATGTAACCTAGAGCAGGGGTGGCTAACTTGTGGCTCCAGAGTTAATATGTGGCTCCTTACAGAGGTACCAAATCCAGGGCAGGCGCCACAGGTGCCAACTTTCAACTGGGCCGGAGGGTGCTCACTGTTCAACCCCCAGTTCTGCCCTAGGTGCTGTCCCCCTCCGCCCTTTCCCCCTAGGATCCTGCCACTTCCTACCCTCTCCATTGAGCCTGTCACACCCTTGCTTCCCCGCTCCGAGTTAATATGTGGCTCCTTACAGAGGTACCAAATCCAGGGCAGGCGCCACAGGTGCCAACTTTCAACTGGGCCGGAGGGTGCTCACTGTTCAACCCCCAGTTCTGCCCTAGGTGCTGTCCCCCTCCGCCCTTTCCCCCTAGGATCCTGCCACTTCCTACCCTCTCCATTGAGCCTGTCACACCCTTGCTTCCCCGCTCCAGTGTCTCCCGCTGAGAAAGAGCTGATCCCAGTGGGCAGGAGGAAAAGGAAGAGGCGGGGCTGCCCGTGGCAGGATGTGCTGAGGATGGTGGTGGGGAGATGAGCAGGGCTGGGGACATAGAACTGTTGCTCTTTGGCCATGTGCACTGGTCAATTCTGGCTCCGTCTCGGGTTCATTTTGCCCCCCCCCCCCCCGGTCTATAGCATTAACCTATAAGCATTTGTGTATCAGTTAATCGAGGACACTGTTACATCCCTACTACACACAGGGAATGGCTGCAGCAGCAGGAGAGCAGAATGAGGATGAACCGAAGTTCACTAGTGGAGAGTGGGAGGGGAGGGATCACACATGCAAACACTCTCTTCACCAGAGCGGTCTCCACTTTCATGCTGTGATAAGCCAATAACTTTCCCCCACTTTGTGAAGCAGCATCTGCAGCTTTTCATTCCTTGCAGGGCAGAGAGGAAAGCTAATATACTGGTGGGAAATCCATCTGGAATATTAGCTACTCCTCCCTGCAGAGCAAGCATCCAGTAAGAGATGGATGATCAGAAAGAGATACAGCTGCTCTCATTCCCTGGAATCGTCAGGGAACAAATAAAAGACCCCTAAACCCGACTGGGCTGTCTGCACTTTACAGCAGTTCCCAGAATGCCTGACGTGAGACTACTGCCAGAAGAGCTGAGCTCTGCACTCACTTGTAATAGGTGACGAAGCTCTCCCCTGTACTGAGGTTCAGGTAGCCGTAGAAAGGGTCCCCATACTGCAGTATGGATCCAATGTGCGGCAGTCCATCTGCGTCGAGATTCTGCGTAACCCTGGGATCTCCAGGCTTGACTCCAAACACCAGACAGTCATCTCCTTGTTTGATTTTTTCAGCAAGATCTATGCTCTCCGTCTTGTAAACACTGCCATGTGCAAATCCTCGCTCCCACGAAGCCTTACTCACAATCTACACAAAACATCCCCAATAAAACCAGAGCCTTAGGAGAGTCCCTTCAACGATACTTTCTAAAACAAGATGAACACACTTCACGTTTGATTTCAGCCTTGCCATTTTCCACACTCTCCCCCCGTAGGCCCTTATTTTCCACAGTCTCCTTCCTCTGTCTATACATGCTTTCTGAACCTCAGCAGGGAAAGCATTTGTACACTGCTGTGACCCATTTTTTTTTAAAAGCACCCCTCTAGCTAAATAATCACCACTCTCCCGTAAACACCCACAGCTCCCAAACACCAACAGTCCCAGGACTGCACAGACATGAGCCACTTGTCAAATGACGAGTCCAGCAACTAGCACTATGGGGCCCTAACAGCCCATTGGTGCTCTCTGTGCTGCTGCCAGACATACAATAAATGTGAAAAAAAACATTCATTTTCCCCTTATATAGCAGATGGGGCAGTTTGGGCACTAGCAAACGCAGGCATGCAACCTCTTACCAACTGCACCTTCCAGCCTCCGACGCTGCCTCTGGCCCTGCTGCACAGCCTCTCCCAGCATTCCCCAGGTCAGTAGGGAAGCATCTGGGCAGCAGAGCCAGGGAGGGAATGCCAGAGTAGAGCACAGTACGGGGAAGGCCTGCACCCAGACACTCCACAGTGAGTCTAAGTTGCAGGTGTAGCCTGGAGAAGAGCTAAGGTTGCCACGTGTAGGTGGAGAAGCAGAAGGCACATCCCGTTCACAGGCTTTCCCCTCCCTTGCTTGTGTGCACACACCTACTGTGTGACAAGCTAAGATGTTTGATTACTCTGAAGCAGAGGTCTGATTTGTGATTAACCGACATCTGGAGACTCAGCATAGTCAGTGGGTTTTAGAATTTACCTTCCAACGCCAGTTCCCCAAGTGACACAGTTATTTCCTTTTCAATGACTTACCATTGCATCTTCCATGTCATAGCCAGTGTAGGAGATGACAGCAACGACTGCATTGGTACCAATGGGATAGCTGTCCATGTCATAGTAATCATACATGTATGGCCGCACCAAGGGGCTTTGCGGCGTCTGAAGTCGGTACAGTTTATTATCTGAGCGTTCCTGGTAAGTCAGAAGTGGAAAGCCCATAGTTTGCTTGCCTAGAATAAAAAAAAAGGGCCAGATTAATCAAGTGTCAAAAATCACACTGTTCTGTCAGAGCTTTGGTGGGAATAAAAGTGAGCCAGCCTCCAGAATCTCTTGCTGTGTACTGAGAACAAGTTGATGTTTTCCCCAAATCTAAAAAGTTCTCCTAAGCTTTCACTTTAAGACAGTACTGCAGGGGATAAGGACTTCCCTTCCTGCTCCTAATTCACAAATGGCACACTACTCCTTCCTCACAAACATCCCACTCTCCCTACCTCTAATATCATCAATTCACAGACACTTACCTTCCTTCCTCCCCCTCCCCCCCGCATCCCCCTCCTGTTCTGCAATGTGATTTGTCCTTTTCATATTTGTTCATTTTTTTTAATTGTATCCTTTGGTATATATGGTTGTGACTACTTTCTTCCACTATTTGATCTGAGGAAGTGGGTCTGGCCCACAAAAGCTCATCATCTAATAAACCATCTTGTTAGTCTTTAAAGTGCTACATTGTCCTGCATTTTGCTTCAGCTACTCCTTCCTAGGGATGTTAAAATGGGTTTATTCTGGTAAACATGTTACTGCTGAAATTTTCAGTGGTCACATGCAGGGGGCAGGAAGGAGATGGCTCTGTGGGAACCAGTGCTTACAGGGAGCCAGCTTTTAAGCCTGCCTGTCCTGTCCCCGGCTGCCTCTGACACAGGTTCATCGCATCCCTACTCCTTACACTCCTATCGTAACTCGGTTCCATCCCTCTCATTTAACAAGGGTTATCTTCAATATTCTCCCTCTGACAGCAATTCTGAAATATCCAGATGGAACATCACTTTCACACTTACCATAAAACAAATTTTTCTGCATGTGACATTTCACGTGTCTCTCGTCTGTTCTACATTATCATGCTACAAAATATTGTTTTCCTCCTAAAATTAATATTTCTGAGCGATGCAACTTCTGAGCAAAGAGTTGGCATTTTATTAAGTTTACGATTTTCAGAAAACTGGGGGGAAATGACTGAGCTACAAATCCGCTTATACAAAACCTTTCCAACATGATTCCCCAATTCTTGGTCTCTGCCTCCTGGTGGAACTCTGAGCTCTTTAATCACCTTTTCACATAAGGCTGTATTAGTTCATGTAGAGTGGTACAGAAAAGAGCACCCATCTCAAGGAAGGTGCTCTTGGTAAACTCTTAAAATACCATCCATGCAGACTCTGGCAATAACCCATCAGCAGAACTTTGCCAGCAGCAAAAGGGATTTAACAAACACTCCATAAACCCCATCAACAAAAGCCATCTCAAAATCCCCAGCTTCACTCTTCTCCCAACACCCTGCCAGCTGTGCTCTCTTCTACACCGCTGAAGTGCCTTTACTAACCACACTGTGGTGCTGTGTCATGGCCATGGGGAGAGAACGGGTCTTGAAGAAGAGCCAAGCTATTTTAGGGCTTGATAAAGTCAAAATCAACACAAGGTCAAGCCAGAAACAGGCAATCAGTGAAGATCACGGAGATCCAGTTTAATGTGACCATGAAATGCATACTGCTTAGCAGAGGCTGCAAATTCTGTGCCATCCGCAGTGTCTGGATAGATTTAAGCTATAACCTCACAGGGAGCACCCTGCAGTATCTCCTGAAACGTGCCAGGCACAGAACCAGTTGCATGGTCTGTAGCCAAAGGAAGCGGACTCAGTCTCTTATCCATGTGAAGTGGGGGGATGGCAAAAGGAGTTGATCTTGCAGTGGCAGCTACTTGCTCTTCTAACACCACCTGAGCGTTACCAAGCCCAGCCTGCAAACTGGATGCACACATGGCAGACGTACACCACAAGACAACCGGAATAATATTGGCTCTGTCTTCCAGTCGCTTCCTCCAACCAGCCTACAACCCCTCCATCTTGCTTGGATGGTGCCTCAGCCAGTTAACCCAGAGTGTGCCTGTCAGCACCACAATGGACCACTCTAGCCTGGTGGATCTGTCTGTTATCAGCATTCTGCAGTAATTGAGCCCGACTGCTCTTAGAGTAGTAGTGTGGTCACTGGGAGAGGGAGGAACTTTTCCTTTGAAAGGCCCAAGAGATGCTGATGAGCTGCCCAAGTCCAATGGGGTATGAGAGGGACAATCCAGCTAGGGTTTGTTGGCAGTTCTCTGTGCCGGCAAAGCCAAGGGGGATACAAAGGAAAGAGGAATGAAGCAGTTAAGGATCTGATTTTTCCCCTCTCTCCTGCCAGTGCAAACCTGGGGCATTGTTGCAGAGTTGGATGGCAATATTTAGTACAGTACTTACCCATCTGGCATTGGTACATGTTCCTAGGACTCTGATTGTGATCAGAGAATGGAATGAGGTTGGCTACCACGCTCAGCATGCTATGAGGAAAGAGCTCTTGGTGAGTGGTCACACCTGGCACAATTTCATCCTCCAGGACAGCAATGTTCATGAAGACCTGAGATAAGCAAAGTCCAATTTAATTATCAAGTTGATTTTTAAGAGCAAATAATGCTATGTCCAATCAATTTCATTCACTTACATAGCTGCTGCAGTTGGTAATTTACAGTACATCTACATAGCAGCATTATTTTGGAATTACAGATGTTATTCCGAAATAACATAGTGAGCATCTACACAGATCTTTATTTCAAAATAATGTTGAGCTGGAGGACTTCTTACTCTGACTCCTGTAACCCTCGTTTCACAAGGAGTAAGGGAAGTTGAAGGAAGAGTGTTCTCCCTTCCGGCTGTGTAGACAGCGCCAAAAGCCAAAATAAGCTATTTCGAATTAAGCTATGCAACTGACGTATCTCAAGTTGCATTGCTTAATTCAACTTTAGCCCTGCTGTGTAGACGCGCCCTTAAGAGTATTAGTGTGTAAATAGGGCTATGCAAACAGACAACTATGGCTCCTTCTACACTGAGCTAGGGATGTTATTCTCAGCAAGTGTAGACAATCACACTAGCTCTCTATCTGCGCTAGTGCACTGAAACCAGGAATGTAGCTGCAGTACCACAAGCAGCCGCAGAAAATAGTAGCACCACTAATATGTCCCCCCCTTCCCCCAGGTTTAGGTGAGAGGGCAGTAGCTGGGACGCAGTAGTGCGTAGTAGTACAGTACCAGCGCAGCCACAAGAACTAGGCTAGTGGTCTTAGCATGTGTCAGTGTATTCCTTGGGAAAGGCAAGCACAAAGCCAGAAGACAGGGTGGGTGAACACAAGGACGTAATCCACACAATTCAGGCACAGTTAACACTGAGAGCACACACAGGGTGAAACCCTTTACAAGCACAAAGTGGTTATCAAAGTACACAGCAGTAAGAAGCCAGAAAACGAAGGTGATCAAAGCAAACTTAATTGCTCTGTTGACAAGATCAGCTTCCCACCTCCCCTTCATTGTTCCTTTCACAGACTTTTTGTAAGGTGTGTGTTATATCCAGATTAAAGACTTTTCTCCAATGGCCACTGCTCTGTAATAAACACACAGACATTAGACACGCTCGTGCACAGTACCTGTTCCAGAGTGCCAATCAATTCTTCCTTTCCCAAGGCCAAGTTTCTCACCGGTCGAATCATCCGACAAGGGGTAGTAAAAATGAACAACCCTGGATACAGACTAGGTTTTCCTGTCATTGGAATAAGGACGACCTCTGTCCAGGCTGTAATTTTCTTTTCTTTCATTACCTGTTCTCACATACACAGAAAAAAGCTAGTTAGATTTTTTTTGGATCCCATAGCCTATTTTCCCACCTAAATGAAAATCTCACAAGTAGCTACATAAATTCATCGTTTTGTATATTTTTAAGAAAATATTTGCATCAAACTCTACAAAGCTGGAGAAAAACAATTGAATTTTAACTTGCTACAACCAACAAGTAGCTTGATGCTGCAATGTTTTGGTGGCAATGCCTTAAACAGGTATACAATAATCATTTAATTATTAAAATTCAAATAAAACCATCTGAGTGGCTCAGACACAAGTGAAAAGAGGAAAAATTATTTTAGAATCTGAGGCAAGACTCAAGGTATACCGCATTGCCTACTGTCTAGCACATTAGCGTCAGACCGCTTCTTTTACGTCAAGTCACATCAAAGTAGACAACCTTAAAGTGCCGTAGAGTATCTGCTATGGTAGGAGCCATATCTTTTTCCACCCAGCCCACCAAGGATCCATCCAGGGTAACTGGGTAACACTCTGCATAGGGTTGGCTTGGAGTCCCGTCAACTGGGGTGACACCTGGGAAAAAAGGAGAAAGTCATTAATGCTAAACGTAGCAATTCACACCAAACACCCCACAGGATCTTAGAAACATTCTAGATTAGCATACAGGAAATGCCTCACATTTTGCTTTGACCACTATATATTAAGAATCTAAATATCAGGTATCTCATATTTCTCCATATGCTGCATGACTTATATCCAGATTTAAAACAATAAAAAGTGTTTTGATGAGCACGAGAAAATAAAATTCTTACATGAACTGTTCTTTGACTAAACAGCCATTGGTAACCTTATACAGATGCAAATGACAAAACTCTATGGAGACATTTCTATGCATTTATCTTTCTGTATACATTAACTTGCTCATTCGACAGAATACAGCTTTTATTAGTTCACTAGTAGTAAATATATTACTACTCAAACAACATTTTTGAAGTGGCAGTCCTGTGTAAGCAATACATTAATTTGTCATTAACCAAAATGCAGGTTGACCCATGTTGAAATGTTTTTGGTTTAACGAGATACAGTGAAGACATGGGTTTGTGGGGTCCTGCAGAGAACATCAGCCACTGCTTTCTCTGTAAGTTTTCTTCAGTGGAACATACCTAAGGAGCAGAGCAAAGGTGGCAGAGATAAGGTGTAGGCTGAGTGTGTCACTATTTCACAGACAGCTGTAATATGGTTCATGAGCCCACAGGGCTCTCCATCAGGCGTGTGCACCGGGCACAGGAAGCCCCAGGATTCAGGCAGCAGTTTGCGCACTGTGGTAGTTCTCATCTTGGCAAATGCAGCGCCTCTGTGTACGCACCGAAAATGGGACAGATAACGAACAAAATTCAGCTTGTCTGCCACCACACACAGACCAGAATCTTGTAGCATACCCAGACCTTTAAAAAAAAAAAAAAAAAAAAAAAAGCCAGATTTAATGTGTGAGCTGATATTAATGAAGGACATCTGCAAAATATAATTCTATAAATCATCTTCATTAGACCCACCCCTCGAATTCGAAAAGACTGACCTGATCTCAAATGAGAGATTCACCACTCATTAATCTGCATCTACATTTGAGTCGTTCAGTGGCAATGGGCTATGCAGCCTTTTACACTTTAGATCACTGGCTCAAATTCAGCTCAAACTGCTAGCAACCAAAAGTCACTCATCTGTTCAGTGCTCTATGTGAAATGAGTTAAGAGCCTCAAAGCTGACTGCAAGATAATGCTTTTTCCAGGAAAATTGTATCTATTTGTTTCCCTATTTTTCATTGAAGTTTTGCTTCACTAGAAATGACTGGTTTCTTGTAGTCTTGGCCCAGTGTCTAGTCTACTATACTGTTTTATGTCCACATCATATTTGTAGCCTCAGTGCACAGCCAGGGATCAAATGGGCTTTGATGGTGAACTATCCGAGTGCAGTAGTTTTGAACTCAGAGAGGAGGCAGTACATAGTTAGCACTTCCACACACCATGTTCTACCTTTTCTATGCAGAATGGTAATCAATCAATGCTGCTTCTTTTCGAAATGCTAACTCTAAAGATACTTTAAAAAATCTACCATAAAATCGCGAGTATAATGTGCACCTGTGCATATTGCGCACCCTGACTTTAGACTCTTAAAATCATGAAAAAAAATGAACCCCTATGTATATTGTGCATCCATTATACAGGAGAATAGGAGGGAAGGAACGGGAAGGAAGCCGGCCGCTGCCCATTTGTCCGCGTGCCGAGATCGTGCTTGCTGGGGGACCTCTCTCTTGGTCCACACACTGAGCTCGCAGCTGCCCACACACTGAGCTCGCAGTTGCTGGGGGACCTCCCCTGCCCAGGTCCCTGCATGCCGAGCTTGCACCTGCCGGGGGGCCTCCTCCACCCAGCTGTCCATGTGCCGAGCTCACGTTTTCTGGGGGGCCTCCCCTGCCCAGCTTCAACCACCAAGCTCGTGCCTGCCGGGGGACCTCCTCCATGCAGCCGTCTGCGCGCCGAGCTCGCGCCTGCCGAGGGTGAGTTTAAAACTTGAAAAGATAACCCCCGATGTGTAATGTGCACCCCGGCTATTACCCTAAAAAAAACCCACAGGAAAAAGAGCGTGCATTATACTTGTGATTTTACAGTAAGTGTTAGCTACTTTGAGATTCCACTTTAAAAATACTCAAAAAAATTGTGTGCTTAAGGAGATTAATAGAACAAATCAAGGTGACCTATACAGCTCCGGAGTTGAAGCTTCCTTTTCATAATGAACTTCAACCTGAGCAAATATTCAGTAGCCAAAACTTTAAGACAAGAGGCTTGAAAAAAATGTCAGCACCTCTCTGGAGAACACACACTGTACCCCAGGACTAGAATGAAGTGCAGGAGAAGATCAGCCACACCTTAGTTAAAATGTACCTGTTTTAGAGCGCAGGTTGCCCGTAGCAAGCAGATATTCAAATGGCCTTGTAACATCAATTCCCATGCTGAATAGCTTCATCATATTTTCTGAATTGATAGTTACATTGGTCTTCTGAGCTCTCTTCTCTAAGGCAACTTTCAGAGAAAGCAACCAAGCTTCCATCCTCTCCTAGGGTTGAAAAATGAGAGCTGTTAAATTCAAGTAGGCAAGTAAAAACGAACTGGTTCTCCACGCCTGCAGCAAGTGATGTTACAGAGTAGTACACTGCATGGACCCTCCCCGCATGGGCAGAAGGATGGACAAGATAATTTTCTGATGACCAAACAACATGATAAACATTTCAGATGACTGCCTCTGGAGCTTTGTTTGGGCAGTAAATTTTGGTATTTGAATTATAACTCCTTATTAAAAGAAATCCACTGCAGACAGCCAAACTAACCGAAAGTACAGACATTATCTGCTATCAAACATATTTAAGCTTTTCCCTATTTTAAATACGGGAAGGGGAGGAGGATTCCTCCAAAAGTGTCAGAGCGGACCTGCGGCCAGTTAGTAAAGCACTGCTTATGGGGTCCGAGCTAGCTATTCAGTCTGCCCACAGGCAGCTCACCTCAGTCGAGTGTTTCCACTCCCTGGAGGGAAGGCAGGGCTTTCTTCAATGGAACCCCTCAGAAACCTGTATTAAACACCTTGGATTTAGATATTTTCCACAGTCACAAGCCACTGAAGTGGCAGGGGGGGGGTTTTTGTTCTTCCAAATACAAACTCCTATTCCAAAATGATGTCAAAAGCAGATTTTCAAGACATGGCAAATGGAAGTGCTCTAAAGAATTTGTTATGCACCACTGAGTTTGAAGCACAGATGGGGATATTTTGGGCTTGTGTGTTTTCACTGTAAACTATAAATGCTTTGCAGTGACATTTCTTAGATCTACAAGCATTTTCAGAACAGGAATACTTCCATACTGCAACAACGAAAGGCCCAGAAATTGGTAGGACATAATTATTGCTAATAAATCACTCCCCTGGCTCCATAAAGGCATGTGGTACTTCACATGGTAAGACAAATCTGTTCCAAAGAGCTTACAGTCTAAAACAGAAAGGACCAAAAGAGGAATAAAACCACAATTACTGGTGAAAAGGCAGCAGAAGGCCGTGTTGCCAAAAAAGGAGCTAAGTATTCCTGAGGAACAGACAACAAAACAGACGGATGGAAGAGTATAAGAGACTGTTAGTACTACAGGCAGCAAACGGGAGGAGGAGGAAATTAAAGCAGACACAATTGTGGAGATTCAGTTGGGGCTGGTAGGTTGGAACCAGTGTTAATACAGCCAATGAAGTGATTCAAAGAGGAGCTTTGCGGAGATCACTTTGGATAGCTGTTGGAGGAGAGGTGAGAAGCGGCGGAGAAGCAGCACAACTGAAGGTCTGAGAGGTGGCTAAAGCAGGAGAAAGTAAGATTTTGGTAACATTCCAAAGTCAGTCAGCACAAGAGCTAGTGGGTGGGGAGATAAGACTCAGAAGATCACCCTGAAACTGCAAGCCTAAGACAAGGAGAACATCTGAAGCAGGGAATGGAGGAGCCTGCCAAGAGAACGCAGGAGGAAGAGAGCAGGGGGCTGAAGGCAGAACTCTGAGGAACACCAAGACAGGGAGAAAAAAAATTAAGTAGAAGGGCAACTGTGACTTTGGATGGACCAAAAATGAAAGCCTCAGAGTGCAGGCCTGAGCTGGTGAGCCTGGAGTCTGCCAGCTGCACTCGCACAGGTGTTGACAGAGGGAATGGTGCCAGCTTTATGCTAATTCAGGAGTGTGAGGCCTGTGCGGTGTATTTCGCAGATACTACTTCGCTCTAGCTGCAGATGCTATCGTGCTCTAACAAATGAAAACGAGCAAAGAGCAGGGTTCCCTCTAAGCTGTGCACCTGCACAAAAAAGTTTAGGCCCGCCCAACTCGCTTGCAGAGCCTCACAGCCACTCACTTTCCTGCTGGTGAGTGGCGGCAGCGGCCTGGTGAGTTCTGGCTGGGCTGCGTGGCGCAAGTGGCTGTCCTGCCCCCATTTGCTCTGGCTGGCGCTGGGGCACGGTGAGGCTGTCCCTGCTTGGGCAGCCTCACCAGACCCACTTCCAGCTACGGCAGGCAGCACACCGCAGCCTGGCCAGGACCAGAGCCACGTGTCAACTGGTGGCTGGCTGAGTGGCTGCAGCTGGGACCAGAGGTGCCACATGGCTCCCGAAACCTATTCCCCTGGCTCTTAGCTGCAGCACCAGCCACGTGGGCAGTCACCACCCAGCAGCCCTGGCATCCTTACGCCAGAAGCTGCTGGCCAGCTGGCTGGGAATACTGGGCAGTGCAGTCCCAGCTCGCCCCTTGCCCGCTGGTTGAGGGAGCTGGGCAGCTCAGCCCCACTTTCCCCTCAGTGAGCAGCTTCCTGGGGGCCAGGTAGCCCAGTCCTGGGCCCACCGCCCCACAAGAATGGGCAGCCTAGCTCCAATCTCCCCCCAGCAAGGAGTTCTCACATCCCTGACCTCTCTGCCCCCTGTCCTGAGTACCCTCTTGCCCTGAATCCTGCACCCTCTACCCATACCTCCCACCACTGATTCCTGTGCCGCAGAGTCATGCACCTTTTTAATTATCCTTTGGGGAGGGGTGGGTGGGTGGGTGAGTGAGTGAGAGAGAGGTACCACAGTTTCACACAGGAACGTGTTGTCAATGTTGGTGCACAAGACAAAAAACTCACTGCTCACAGCTGGGAAATCTTACAGGGAACACTGACAGAGCATTACCAGATGTAGTTCACAGGCAGGCTAACAGGGACAGAAAGGATAAGGGACAGGGACATGCCCAGGGTCACACAGCAAACCAGGGGCACAGCTGAAAACAAGGTCTGGATCTGGCTCCCCAGCCCTCAGCATCAAACACTGGAGCCCAACTGCCTCCTCGCAAGCTCATGTTATACGAGTCACTGCAATACCCCACATGCCGGATCCAGGGTTGCTCTTTCTTCCACACGTCTAGAGGTTCTCCTCCCACTCACAGCTTTAAGCACTTTCAGGCATTACCTTTAAGAACATGAGGTAAAGCTGCCCTGGGGTAAGCACTTCCTGGTTTATAAGGCTGTCTGGGTTGTCCTCCATGCACTCTTCTTTGGCAAAAGCAAACAACTTCCGGGTCATCAGACAAAGCAAGTAGAACTTCTCACTCTTGGTTTTCAAGTGTATACAGATGCACTGACTGGAGGCACAGGAAGAAAAGGGGCCAATTAACTCTCTCTCTCTGTTCTAAGATCCGGCCTGAACAGCCCTTGACCAAACTCTTATTCATGAACTCCCAGTTAAGCTGCCTAACAGTTTTCCGTACACACATTCAGGTTTTTTCAGAAACTCTCATGGACCAAAAGGATTTCAAAACTCCCCTCTCGTCATCCTTAGAGTTGTAACCTTCCAGACCATGACTCAGGGCCGTGAGCAGGTGAGCCTGCCCTACTGCTGGCAGTACTGTACCTGTCATGATACACGAAGGTCAGACAGTGAAGCGGGACTACACCCATCATACAAGCGTTGAGTGACACACTGCTACATGAATACGTACTCCAAAAGGAATTCTGCAGCTTGTTCATTCGGGTACCACTCAGGAAGGTTGAGTTTCACCCGGAAGCATTTCCCAAGGTAGTCAAGGACCTGCTTCTGCGTGGCACAGCCCTCCTCCATCACCAGTCTCAACATCTGAGAAATGCAGTTCTTGTAGAAGGAGTTGTCTTCTCTTCCTCTGATCAACTCCTGAAAAATCTGGTAGTCTGAGAAACCAACTAATGCCTGGAGGAGAGAGAGGCACCAGATCAGCGAACAAAGAAAAACCAGGAGTAAGAAATCACCATGTCTCAATTAAAGAATAGAACGGGACAGGTCACTCCAATCACTTATGCATGTTTATGCTCATCTGTCCTTCTAATATCTTTCCCCAAGGTGTAAACAGTTTTCTGGAGGTTCAATTGGTTGTGGAGAAAGATCCTGGGTGTACACAATCTGACTGTCACCACAAATACCCAATAAAACCCCTAGAAAAGCAAATACTGAGTCAATATAGACAATGATGAATAAAAGCTAATTTAGTTTTTCATTTAAATAAGAATTTTTTATCTTTTTATACGTGATCTTACAGTATACATCTAATTCACAATTTGTCTCAATTAATTGACATTTAAGTAAACTGAAAACAAGTGGTTTTTATAATGCAATGGATGGATTAAAGATAAGATCAACTTAGCTATGCTGCTCAGGGCTGTGAAAAATGTCACACCTGTGTGATGTGGTTAGATTGACCTAATCCTTGAAAAAATGCAGCTAGCTCAACAGCAGAATTCATGCAGAGAGGGGCTTTAACTACTTGATGGAAAAAACCCTTCTGTCGCTGTAGGAAGCACCTACATGGTGCTACAGTGCACATTGCAGTGCTGTAGTTCTGGGCTGCTGGAGCTTCGCATGGACCCACCCTGAGGCTAGATGCAATGATCAGATCTGCAAACCCTAGATTTAAACCCATCAGTCTAAACCCTGCAGCAATTGTATTGCAACAGCACAGTGCAAATACCCTGGGGTTAGAAATAAGAAAGTCAGAAATAACTCACTTGCTTACCAAAACAAACACAGCCTCAGAAGAAAGGTACTTTGTCAAAGTAAGCTGCCATTTCAAAGCATGCGCAAAGGCCCCGTGGGCTGATGCAACAAAAAACAGTAGTCTGACATTACTACCAGAGAGCACATGCTTTCTTTGCAGGAAAACAAAGATGAAAAGAGTTAATTGAAGTGAATTCCTTGCAATATTACCTATTTAAAGCACAATTTAAATCTGTTCTACTCCATTTTGAAAACTTGCTTTCATTGCCTTGCTTAGCAAAATCCATGCATTGTGCCTGCTTAATTGTATGTTATGGTTATGAGCGCCTTTGAAGGTTCTTCATTCAGCAGTTGCTTGCCCTCCACAAGCTGTGCTCTCTAAATGCACTCATTGTCTCCACACAGACACTAGTGGGCTTGTCTTCACTGCCCTGGTTAGCTCACGTTAGCCCTGCAGCCAGTCCAGGTCCAGCGAGAGCAGCCACACTTCAGAACACTAGAGTTACAGTTACCTGATTAGCCGTATAGACTGGATTAGCTGCTAACTTGTACTGTGGGAATACTCAGCATTACTAGCTCAGCATCAGCATCCCGGTCCTTCAAACAATGCCACTTCTCCCCATCTGTCCCCAGCTAGCTGGAGTTTAAAGTGCCATTTAACTCAAGCTGTGGGTGTGGAGGTGGCTCCGGCTGCAGCAGTGCTCACATTATAACAAGTTAACTGCGTGGTGAAGAAGCGTGCACACTAGGAATAGGATGCCTGAGGTAGTGCTCAGAGATCAGCATCAGTTGGGAGTCTTTGCAGATATTCACCTTTGGGCTGAGGGCATAACCAACCTGGGACCCTCTAACGGCCTCCTCTCTACCCCAGGACATGAGGTCATAAGAACATAAGAACGGCCGTACTGGGTCAGAGCAAAGGTCCATCTAGCCCAGTATCCTGTCTACCAACAGTGGCCAGCACCAGGTGCCCCAGAGAGGGTGGACTGAAGACAATGATCAAGCGATTTGTCTCCTGCCATCCCTCTCCGGCCTCTGACAGACAGAGGCCAAGGACACCATTTTATCCCCTGGCTAATAGCCTTTTATGGACCTAACCTCCATGAAATTATCTAGCTTCTCTTTAAACTCTATTATAGTCCTAGCCTTCACAGCCTCCTCTGGCAAGGAGTTCCACAGGTTGGGACTGAAGACAATGATCAAGCGATTTGTCTCCTGCCATCCCTCTCCGGCCTCTGACAGACAGAGGCCAAGGACACCATTTTATCCCCTGGCTAATAGCCTTTTATGGACCTAACCTCCATGAAATTATCTAGCTTCTCTTTAAACTCTATTATAGTCCTAGCCTTCACAGCCTCCTCTGGCAAGGAGTTCCACAGGTTGACTACACGCTGTGTGAAGAAGAACTTTCTTTTATTAGTTTTAAACCTGCTACCCATTAATTTCATTTGGTGTCCTCTAGTTCTTCTATTTAGGGAACTAATAAATAACTTTTCTTTATCGGCCCTCTCCACACCACTCATGATTTTATAGACCTCTATCATATCCCCCCTCAGTCTCCTCTTTTCTAAACTGAAAAGTCCCAGAAGCAGAAGGAAGGAGACGGTGCAGCATGGTTCTGTGAGCAACATAACAAGAAGTGGAGTTACAAAGGTAAACCTCCCCCCCCCCCATTTTCCTCATGAGTCTGTCACCTCCCAGCCCACTGTAGAACAGCAAGCAGGCTGAAAAGGCTGAAACATCGTCCTTGTGAACTCAATATCTAAGGGCGTGGGCTGAGCTCAAGCTAACAGCACCTCCGCTGTCTCCTGCAGCTGTGGCATTTGGACACCCTGGCTCTGGCCACCCACCTCGAGAGAATGGGCACTAAGACACTGTGGAACAGGGCCATAAGGCACTGTATGTGAAGTCAGGTTTGCAGTCACATTCATTCAAAATGCCTTCAAGGCAGGATGACCGGGCCTTTGGACTTTTTGCCCAAACTTCGCCACCACAAGATCTGCTGAAGAATCTCATCCTGTCTAAATACCAATGAGCAGTTCTCAACATTCACCATGAGTAGCCTCTTTCCCAAGTGACTGTGACCTAGGGTGGAAAATGGGCAGACATTTCTCATGGAAGACACTGCATTCATGTCTGGATCTCAGATCCTCCTGGCAGCAAAAGCAACCACCAGGAAGGAAGACTTGAAAGACAGCAAAATCCCAAAGGCTCCTTCTGTAGGACTGATGAGCAACAGGACAGGTTATGGTAATAACTATTTACAACTACTGAGGTATACAGGATTGACATTTAGAGTTTAAGCCCGATGGGGCAGAGGATGACTTCCTTTGTGTCCCATTCAACACTGAACACGTTGGTGCATTCACAATCACTTTGGGGAAAAAAGGTGTTTTTGCACCCATTTCTAACACTCTGTCCAGGAAAGTTCTGAACAGAAGCAGCATTTTGTTTTATACTGTTTTGCTTGATTTTCAATTGGGATGATGTAACTTATCTCATTAGAATATTAATGTGCTCCCAAAGTCTTTCACTGGATGATAGGGACTAAAAACATTCTGCTAATATTGTGCTTGAGGATTTATTCTGCACAACTGTTTTTATTTTAAAACAGCTTTTCCCTTAACTCCTCACTGGTACGGTCTTAGAATCATAGAATCATAGAATAATAGGACTGGAAGGGACCTCAAGAGGTCATCGAGTCCAGCCCCCCGCCCTCAAGGCAGGACCAAGCTCCGTCTACACCATCCCTAACAGATGTCTATCTAACCTGTTCTTAAATATCTCCAGAGAGGGAGATTCCACCACCTCCCTTGGCAATTTATTCCAATATTTGACCACCCTGACAGTTAGGAATTTTTTCCTAATGTCCAATCTAAACCTCCCCTGCTGCACTTTAAGCCCATTACTCCTTGTTCTGCCCTCAGAAACCAAGAGGAACAATTTTTCTCCTTCCTCCTTGTGACACCCTTTTAGATATTTGAAAACCGCTATCATGTCCCCCCTTAATCTTCTTTTTTCCAAACTAAACAAGCCCAGTTCATGAAGCCTGGCTTCATAGGTCATGTTCTCTAAACCTTTAATCATTCTTGTCGCTCTTCTCTGCACCCTTTCCAATTTCTCCACATCTTTCTTGAAATGTGGCGCCCAGAACTGGACACAGTACTCCAGCAGAGGCCTAACTAGTGCAGAGTAGAGCGGCAGAATGACTTCACGAGTTTTGCTTACAACACACCTGTTGATACAACCTAGAATCATATTTGCTTTTTTTGCAACAGCATCACACTGTTGACTCATTCAACTTGTGGTCCACTATGACCCCTAGATCCCTTTCCGCCATGCTCCTTCCTAGACAGTCGCTTCCCATCTTGTATGTATGGAACTGATTGTTCCTTCCTAAGTGGAGCACTTTGCATTTCTCTTTATTAAACCTCATCCTGTTTACCTCTGATCATTTCTCTAACTTGCTAAGGTCATTTTGAATTATGTCCCTATCCTCCAAAGAAGTCGCAACCCCACCCAGTTTGGTATCATCTGCAAACTTAATAAGCGTACTCTCTATCCCAATATCTACATCATTGATGAAGATATTGAACAGTAGGGTCCCAAAACAGACCCTTGAGGAACTCCACTTGTTATCCCTTTCCAGCAGGATTTAGAACCGTTAAGAACAACTCTCTGACTACGGTTATCCAGCCAATTATGCACCCACCTTATCTGAGGTGGTCTTAGAGCAAAAAGCCAAAAAACGTTTAGACACCGCCTCATTTCCCCATCTTCAGCTGTGTACACGTTCTCATACTTCAGCCTTAAATGTTATACTACTTACTCAGGCAGGTCTGGTTTCCTGATATTCAAGATGACAAGTACCATTCTTCATTTTTCCAGGCAAGAAAAAGGCTGCTACACTTTACACAACAATTCTTCAATCAATCTTTCATTTACCACAAAACCCAAGACTAGACTATGGATTACCTTCAGAGCAAATCCCAGGGGAAGGAAGAACAACTCTTTCTGAAAAATGAAGTTCAGCATCACGGTACCATTTTCCAGGTAGTGAAGGTTCATATTTATAGCAGTGTGCTCATCCCTGACACAGTGCATTGATATACCTGCCAAAAGGAACATAAGCAAGGAGTCATTTAAACAATATAGTAACTATTGACTGGATTCTATCAGCATTACAAAACAAGCGAATAAGACAATTAACATACAATTATCTTTGTAAGCATTGTCTTAATTGCTCCAGGTAAAGTTCAGGTTTCTAGGGTGGGGGCGCTGTATGGCTCAAAGGCTTGGTACTTGTTTGCATCTCCCGGAATTAGACAGAATACAGTCTGATAACACCTGATATATGCCTGGGTCTATATAATGCTATAAGCCTTTTATTTTCACAAGTCCTAAAATTCATCCAAATGTTAGAAGAATTGCTTTTTCCTGCCACGGGCTTTACCCTTTCCAATGAGAGGAATTTCCCTTCATCTCAGTAGACTGTGTTTATGGCATAGCATAATTGCATTGACAAAACAGAAAGCAAGAACGACTTACAGTAAACTCTTTACTTTTGTTTATTTTCAAGCAGCTGTCTTACAAAGGTGATGCACTTAACAAATCACAACACTTACCATATTCTGTGTAGCCAGGGCCTCGGCTTTTCCATTTGGGTCTTATCATTGCAATGGGAAAGTTTCGTCTAGGCATAATCAGCAGTCTGATAACTTTTTCTATTCCATTAACTATAAAATAGCCTCCCATTTCCTGCCAAAAGAAGAAAAGCTTTCAAACTCAGCACGCCAAAATTGAAAGAGAGGAGTACAGAGAACCTACTCTACAAGAAACAAAATGGAAGTCAGAAAAAATTAGCCCTTATTGGACAGTAAAATACACACCAACTTTTTATACGTATGGAGTGCATGGCAAGTTTTATTGATCTAAGCTTGGGATGCATGCATTACTCACACATAAAAGGTAAGCGTGCATTATGGAGGCCATTTCAGATGAGTGCCAATAAATCTGTTATAGTGCAAGGCACTACTATAAGCTCTATTCGGTCCATGTATTTTACAAAAACAACTTTCAGAAACGTTTCAGTGGTGTTTAAGAGAGTTATCAGGGCGCTCTCTTGTACCCATATACCAGTGAAGCCAGATGCACTAGTGACACCAAATACAACTGTAGAGAATGCAGAGAAAATGAGAAGATGAGCCAGTAAATTAAAGTAACCCTCTCAAATGGCCTATAGCAGGGCTGGGGAAACCTCAGGCCCAGATGCAGCCTGTGGCTTGCCCAGATCCAGCCCCCGAGGCTCAGCCCCACCCCCCCAATTGGTGAGCCCGCACTGGTGCTTCAGCACCCCCAAATATCCCCCTGGGGGTTGTAATGCACAAAATCTACTAGGCTGGAACCCCCCGCCCAGGCTCTGTTGTGCAAGGGGAATGTGGGGAGTGTCTTTATCCTCATTTGGGGGCCACAGTGAGGTCCCCCCCGTTTCTCACTTGTGTGCAGCCCCCAACTGATTTTTCTGTGGGTCAGTGACCTCCAAACCAAAAAGGTTCCCCACCCCGGCCTATAGCAACTTCAGTATACACAGAAATATCACAACTTTAACACACCTTACTTCGCACCCCTTTAGAGCTACAAACAAGTACTGTATCTACTAAGAAGGACCCTTTCCAACAGGAAAGTTCCTGTTCGGAGAGAGATAAAATACTGGATTTAAAAGTTTTCACTCATCTGAATACTCCCTCCCTCACCACATGAGGTCTCTGGGTAGCAGATAGGAAGAAAAGCTCTATTTCAGGTTTGGAGAAAAGAATATGATTGTGTGGTCAGTTGATTTTTTGTAAAATGGCAGTTCTTTGAAGCCATCTGAAATATTAGACAAAACCTCAGGTGAGATGCACTAATATGCACAGTCCAGGTGAACTGACCATACCAGTAGGATACACGCACATTTATCGAATGGCTTTGCAATTTAGCACGTCCATGACGCTAACACCCAATATAAAGATTAATTCCAGATCAAACGCTTTTCAGTTGTATATATTTGTTCGAATTACAATGAGCATGTGACCGAAGGGAAATATAAAGATGCATGATCCATGGCTATGGGCCTGGCAATATCAGGGCATCACTGTAGATCAGGCCTTGGCAAAATGAGGCCCACCAAGCCACCGGGGAGCCCCAGGCAGACTCCCCTGCTTGTCCAGCAGGCAATTCAGAAAACGCGGATGCTGGGCCCCATTTCTGTTTCAAAACTGGAGGGGAGGGGGGAAAGCTCTGGAGCTGCCCCTCTAGCACAATCTCATTGGCCGGTTTCTGGTCAGAAACTGGCCAATGGGAGCTGCATGTTTGAAGAATCACACCCCCTCTCCTTGGCTGAACTATTCACACCAGCACATGGCTGTGCAGCCTGCGCAGGCAGGCAGTCTGAGAAATGTTTTAAGCTCTGCAAGCCTTAGCTCTGCAGGCAGACAGGCTGGTTTGGCTACTGGCTGGTAAGTCTCCTGGGCCAGAGCCTGCCTCTGGCAATCCAGCCCCTCCCTTCCGCAATCCTCTGCCCCCCCAATCAACATACCCAAACCCTCTGCCCCTCCTCTTACGCCCATAACTCCTCCCAGAACTGGCACTTCAGTCTCCCTCCTTAGATCACAATCCCCTCCTACCCTAGGTTACATCCCAAACCTCTGCACTACAGACCCCTGCCCTAGGTCACAACCTCCTCCTTCACCCAAACTCCCTCCCAGACCCCACTCTCCCTCCTGCACCCCAATCCCTTACTCCAAGCTCCTTTCTGCACCCAACCTCCATCCCAGACCCTGCATCTCCTCCATTAACATTGTGAAAGTACGTGGCCCTTGACCACTTTCCAAAATGTTGGAGTCCCCCACATCAAAAATTATTGCCCACTCCTGCTGTAGACTTTCACTGACTAAAACAATATAATCAATCATCCATTTGTGTATTTACTTTGATTGTAAACTGAAAACGAATTATTACTTATAATGAACAATGACAGCAGCATATGATTTTGTATCCACATATTCAATTTATCAGACAGAGCAGATTACAAAGCCACCAACAGCAAAAGGGAACCCAGACGTAATGGAGAAGTACAATCTATGGCTATAAAAGGGATATGTATTTTCACTAACGTCAGACCTCTACATTTTTGCCTCCAATGGACCCTACTGTAAGAGTGCCGCCATCAGCCAGGAGCCCCAGTGCCATCACTAAGAAGTAACTAGCGGAGTGCACTCAAGCCGTAACACTCTAACACAGAGACATAAGCTGCCTTGCGTGCCTACAGAGAAGGGAGAAGGATAGTTTTCCAGAGGCAGCTGCACACCTGGAAAGTAACATTTAGTACCAGTAATGGTCACTGGCTGCATGAATCTGAGGTACTCCCTGAGCTTTTATATTCTCAAGAAGAACTGTAGGTATCCTGAATGGCAAACGACCTAAAGACACCTTGAGGGCTGAGACTTGAGACCCCAGAGAAACCACACAGAATCTTTACGAATGGTGTAAGATCAGAAAATATGGCAGATTGTGCTTCTAAATAGATGCGCCAAAATCCTGTAAGCTAATGTAAAACCAACTTCTCTTGCCACACCAAAATCCACTGTTAGTTACCTCTTCTTCCTCATGGTGTTCAATCAGAGCTCTGGGAGGAAGATTATGCAGATTGCAAAGTTTAGATTTGACCATGATTGGAACATATCCCAGGGACTGTTTAATAATCCCTTTAGGAACGCCATTGACTGACCAGCTGATGTCAGCCTATAAGGAAACAATACATCGGTTTATTAGGGAAAAGTTAAAACAACACAAATAATGATAAAATATAGCTCTCTTTAATGAATGAGATACATTACAACATTGTATGCTTAATACAAAACCATAAACAACAACAAAAATATACTGTTTACAGAGAAAACATTAGTTATGCATCATTATATAAACTATAAGAATACGAATGTATACACATGATATATTATAGTGCATGGGTGGGGAACCTTTTTTGGGTTAGGGCCACTTACCTCCAGAAAAATCAGTCGGGGGCTGCACATAAGTGAGAAACAAAAAAAACCCACTCCTCACTAGCGTGGGCTCCCCAATGTTGGGGGAGCCCCAAGCCTCAGGGACCAGATTCAGGCAAGCCGAGACTGCATTCAGCCCCCGGGCCTTAGGTTCCCTACCCGTTATAGTGGATGCCTGGTCACTTCTACCATAGTTCAGGTTATGTTGGGACATTTATTTTACTTCCATTTTTGTTCATTCATAATATTGAGAGTAAAGTTTTCCCATGTTTTGTCTCTGCATAAGAGTGAGGATTATGATTTTGGCATTTGTTCAAACTTTCCAAAATTAAACAAATTACCAAACCTATTAAAAGAGCAAAACTCTTATAATGGTGGAATTACAATTCTTTTTTAACAACCCAGGTAGTTTGAGATGTCAATGAGAACTAGGTCCTACTGTTATTTACAAACCCCTCTCAAAGCCCCAAATTAGGTATTAGTGCTTATGTTTGCAGCCTGGCAAGAGGCAGAATAAACTTCATAGCATCCGTGTACTATTATGTTTAATGTTATGCTACATTAGTTATGTGAAACTTCCCAGTAGTTTCAAAAAGAAAACTCAAGAATTAATTTGTATTAATTCTATGGCTCCCTCTCCAAGCAAAATCAGATTGCCTATTCAAGTCTCTTACTGGGGATGTGACCATGTAGTTGAGAATATGTTTAACTGATAAGCCCGAGCTCATCAGTTAAGCACACAGCCCCCCCCTCCCCACTGCCACTGTATCAGAGGCACTGGTGGAGGGAGGTGGGGAGCTGGTGCATGCAGGGAGTCTTTTAAGCTGCCTCTCCCTCCCACTGAGGAAGCAGGGAGGGGTGAGAGCCGATGCCCACTAGGAGCTGGTTTAAAAGCTGGCTCTTCCCCTCCTACTCCAAGCACTGGCTCCCACAGAGCCATCTGTCCCCTGCTTCTCATACAGAGGCAACAGTAGCAGCCAGCCCCAGAGTGTGTTGCTCTAGTCTAGATCCCACTTCGTAAATTAAATGGTTAAATGTTAGGTCAACCTTATGTTTAACTGGTCAGATCCCACTTCGTAAATTAACTGGTTAAATGTTAGGTCAACCTTATGTTTAACTGGTTAACTGATTAACTGGGATTTTACATTCCTAGTTCAGACACTGGCCTATTTGGTTTTCTGAGTTATCAGGGTGGATAGGTATCTGTGTAGCTTGAAAAAATCTGGGTCAAGAGGGAGAGTGATATGGGTCTCTGCCAAAGAAAGGTGATGGGTGAGGAGTCAAAAGTCTAGGGTGGGTGCCTCAAGGGACAATGAGAGGGCAATAGAGACACAGTTGCCCTGAACTGTGACACACAGAATTTTTTTTTAATGCCTATAAAATATCTGTGGTGTTTTCAGGTGTAGAAACAAACATGAGACATCACTGCAAAGCTGAGGCTCATGATTCTCTGGTGGCATAAGGCAATGGTTCTCCAAGTTTTTCCATTCTATAGGCCACTTTGCAAAAGAAAGATCTTCCCATGGAGGTACCGCCTCATCTAACATCCCCGTTCCCCACAGTATGGTTCCAACATTTGTCATTCCATGTACTAATGGTGATCCACAGAACAGCCAGAGTACATGTGAGAAACGTATTTATTTACATGCTAATGGCTTATGAACAAATATAGCACATACCAGCCTGTGGCAGCGTGTAGCTTTCATGCCCTAGAAGTACTGTGGTAACTATTACTACTTACGGTCAGTTTCCCCCGATAGGTGCTTCGCCGCCCCCTACACTCTGCGGGGTACACTTTCAGCTCTTTACAGACGCTCCCTTTTGGCACCATCGGAGGCGCGACGGCAGCACCCACAATCGCCAGAGTGATGCGTTCGTTTTTGAAGGCAAACTCCAGAGCAGGAATAGCCTGAAACAGAGAGTCAGTGTTAGACACAGGGACAGCAGCAAGAGGCCACCGGCTAGTCAGCGCTCAGCAGGGAAAGTAACGTGACAATCCCCATTTCCACACGTGCGGGGCCAGCCCAGAGAGGCGAAGCAGGGAGCCGGGTTGGGAATCCGAAGGGGGAAGCGATCGCGCCAGGACGCTCAGGCGGTAAAGGAAGGCGAGCAGCCGAATAAGGGCGCCGGGCCATTTCCACACGTGCGGGGCCAGCCCAGAGAGGCGAAGCAGGGAGCCGGGTTGGGAATCCGAAGGGGGAAGCGATCGCGCCAGGACGCTCAGGCGGTAAAGGAAGGCGAGCAGCCGAATAAGGGCGCCGGGTCTCAACGAGATGCTAAAACGCCCCCCCCCGCCCCACCTGCACGGCGCGGTGCAGCCCCTCGCCCACGGCCTGGTTGAAGGAA